GGGAACCTTGTCATGATAACTGCTACTGATGCTGGGGATGCATAGTGATGACTGTTAACTGCTGGTGATGCTGAGGATGCGTAGTGATGATTATCGTGAGGATGAATTATCAGTAATTTAGCATTTCGCTGCGCGCTTGCGACGAGCGTGCGCGCAGCGCAAGCTGGTGCAAAGATCTTGATTACGTAACTTCTTCCATTTGCACAAACATTTAGGAAAATGGTCATGATGATGATGATGATAATGATGAAAATGATGATGAAAATGATGATGAAAATGATGATGTCTAGACCCGACTGGAAATGCAGAAGATGCGTTGTCATGATTGTCATGATAACTGCTGCTTGCATACTAATAACGCTAACTGCTGGTGATGCTGATCATGCGTAGTGATGATGATCATCAATAGGATGATGACACGATGATCAAAATGATATGATGCTGCTGATCATGATGATCATCATCAGCATGTTCATCATCATCATCATCTGTTCCTCATCATGTTTATCATCATCATCATCATCATCCTGATGATCACTGCGCATCCTCAGCATCACCAGCAGTTAACAGTCATCACTATGCATCCCCAGCATCAGCAGCAGTTATCATGACAATCATGACAACACATCCTCTGATTTCCAGTCGGGTCTAACGGCACACTTGAAACATACATCAAAAAAAACGCCAAGGTTTTGATGATGAACATGATGAGGAACATGATGATGCAAAAATGCTGATGATGATGATGAACATGATGATGATGATGATGATGATGAAGATGAACATGATGATGATGAACATGAAGATGAACATGATGATGATGATTGCGATGATGATGAACATGATGAACATGATGATGATGATGAACACCACCATCATCACTTTCATGGTGGCTCTTCTTTTTCACATACATTTGAAGCGTGCCGTTAGACCTGACTTGAGACGCAGGGGATGCGTAGTCATGATTGTCATAATAGCTGCTGGTGATGCCGGGGGTGCATAGTTCATCATCATCATGATCATCATCGCCATCACCATCTGATTGCATCCCGAGGTGTTCCTAACGGCTTACTTCTCGCGAAGACAAAGCGATGGCACAAAGTCCACACTTCGCATCCACAGCAATACGTCGAAGTCTTGAGAAGGAAAAAGGCCCCCAACATGGTTTTGCTGCCCGAGTTTCCACACACCCGGGGCACTTCTTGTAAAATTCAACAAGATGCTTATTGTCATGCGAATTTATCCAGGCGTCGTCATAATTCTCAGAACGCTGCTGGTGATGCTAAAAATGCAAAGTAACAATTATCATCATAACTGCTGGCGATACTGCGAATCCCCAATGTTGGGTAAAAAATTGCTTCATCAAAACATCATCACTGTCGCGCTGCTCTTCTTTTTCATATATGATTTAAGTGTGCCGTTAAACCTGACAACAAATGCGTAGTCATAATTGTCATAACAACGTGCACTGTCAGCCAGCGGCCGGCGGCACAGGGCGGCAGCCCCTAAATATGTATATATATATATATATATATGTATATATATATATATCCCTATACGTATACACAGAGCCAAGTGGCCTCAGCATACAGCCAGAGAGAAGCACACTCGCCCTCACTGTTCACATTGCCAGACCCAAGGGCGAAACCCCTGGCAACCAATCAGCACACCGGCCAACTGCACCAGGCTCACATGCACACACCACCCAACAAGTGAAAAGGACAGCAGCCACAAGCACACCGCTGCAAGTGGGTCGGGGAAGCAGTCGGGGCACCGCTGCCACATGGAACCTGTGCCTAACAGGAACGGCCGGAAGCGGAACCGGAACTGGGACCGGAACCAACGAGCCAACCAATCGCAAACGCAAACCCTAAACAAAAATACCACATGCCTTCCACGACGAGGTGGCTGTGTGTTTGGTAGCATCCACCAGCTGCTAAACGATTGCCGCAACATCATACTGTGATTCCTATGCTGATGCTGTTTTCGTGTTAAAAAAACTAGACCACGGTTGGCCCGAAGGCAGAACATCGCAAGCGAGGTCGGCCCAACGCTGCAGGATGCGTTCTTTTTCCCTACACGAAGCATTCGTGAAGCAAGCGCGAGACAGCGCCAGGCAAGGTGCTATGCGCAAACTGGTCGCTGCAAGTTGGTCTGCGCAAGTTGCTCTACGCAAGTTGCACTGTGCAAGTTGCTCTGCGCAAGTTGCTCCGCGCAAGTTGCTCCGGCAAGTTGGTCCCTGCAAGTGGCTCCCTGCAAGTTGCTCTGTGCAAATTGCGCTCCCTGCAAGTTGCTCTGTGCAAGCTGCTCTGTGCAAGTTGCTCTGTGCAAGTTGCTCTGCGTAAGTTGCTCTGCGCAAGTTGCTCTAGGCAAGGCGCTCTGCGCAAACTGGTCGGTGCAAGTTGGTCTGCGCAAGTTGCTCTGTGCAACTTGCTCTGCGCAAGTTGCTCTGCGCAAGTTGCATCTTTCGAAAAGCAGGCGCGCGAACCACGAGACAACTCCCGAGGACCAGTTCGAACAACAAAGTCGCAAAAAACCTCGAGTTTTTGCACCTCGACCACGCCGATCCCCGCAGAGGGTGCGCGGGCACCGCAGAAATCGCAAAAAACCATGGGTTTTTGCACCTCGACCACGCCGATCCCCGCAGAGGGTCGCGCGGGCACCGCAGAAATCGCAAAAAAAACCATGGGTTTTTGCACCTCGACCACGCCGATCCCCGCAGAGGGTCCGCGAGCAGGTTAGAAATCGCAAAAAACCATGGGTTTTTGCACCTCGACCACGCCGATCCCCGCAGAGGGTCGCGCGGGAACTTTAGAAATCGCAAAAAAACCATTGGTTTTTGCACCTCGACCACGCCGATCCCCGCAGAGGGTCGCGCGGGAACTTTAGAAATCGCAAAAAACCATGGGTTTTTGCACCTCGACCACGCCGATCCCCGCAGAGGGTCGATTTTCGTGTAGTGTCGTCGGCACTACCCCGCCGCCCTAAGAAGAGATTTTAACTCCTCGCAAGTCAATTGCACTTGACTCCTTGCACTTGCAACTTGCACTTGACTCCTTGCTTGTTTCAAGGAGTCATTGCAAGGAGTCATTGCAAGGAGTCATTGCAAGGAGTCATTGCAAGGAGTCATTGCAAGGAGTCATTGCAAGGAGTCATTGCAAGGAGTCATTGCAAGGAGTCATTGCAAGGAGTCATTGCAAGGAGTCATTGCAAGGAGTCATTGCAAGGAGTCATGAGAGCCATTGCAAGTTGCAAGGAGCCAAGTGCATGGAGTCAAGTGCAAGTTGCAAGTGCACGGAGTTAAGTGCAAGTTGCAAGTGCAAGAGTCAAGTGCAAGTTGCAAGTGCATGGAGTCAAGTGCAAGTTGCAAGTGCAAGGAGTCAAGTGCAAGTTGCAAGTGCAAGGAGTCAAGTGCAAGTTGCAATCCTTGCCATGACTCCTTGCAATGACTCCTTGCAATGACTCCTTGCAATGACTCCTTGCAATGACTCCTTGCAATGACTCCTTGCAATGACTCCTTGCAATGACTCCTTGCAATGACTCCTTGCAATGACTCCTTGCAATGACTCCTTGCAATGACTCCTTGCAATGACTCCTTGCAATGACTCCTTGCAATGACTCCTTGCAATGACTCCTTGCAATGACTCCTTGCAATGACTCCTTGCAATGACTCCTTGCAATGACTCCTTGCAATGACTCCTTGCAATGACTCCTTGCAATGACTTTCATGATGATGATTCCTTGCAATGACACCTTGTAATGACTCTCATGAGAACAACTCAAGTGAACCCAGCGGAAGAACCCTTCGCCATGCTTTCGGGAAAAACACAAGACTGCGCAGCTTTGGAGCCCGGCCTGGCCACACAGCTGCTCCACGACAGCGGCAGCTAGGTCTGCCTTGGTCACTTTGCCGCCTGCGACCCGTTGGCGCACATCCAGCTGTCGGGCGCGCGAAGTTGAGGTTGAGCTTTGGCCGCCACCTCTTGCTGGAGCCACGCCTTGCCCTTCTCCGACAAACCAGCACGAAGCGTCGTGGCAGCTCTGCCTCGTCCTGCGCTGTCCATGAGATGAGGCAACCCGTCCGTAAGAAACACGACATGGTGCCATCTGGTGCTTACATTTCGGCCATTCGCAAAACATCATCAAAAACAATAGCGTCAAACACCGACTACGACCAAGTCGAGACACCGGCGTCAGCGAAGCCGCAGAACTGCTTGGCTCCTGGCAACAATCAGCACAGCAAAACAAACACCAGCAAAACTTTCCAGATTTCGATCCTGGCCTGTGGGCACAGCTGCTCCACGACAGCGGCAGATAGGTCTGCCTTGGTCACGTTGCTGCCTGCGACCCACGAGCGCGCGAAGTGGGGCTTGAGCTTTGGCCGCCACCTCTTGCTGGAGCCACGCCTTGCCCTTCTCCGACAAACCAGCACGAAGCGTCGCCACGACAAGCTCTGCCTCGTCCTGCGCTGTCCATGAGATGAGGCAACCCGTCCGTAAGAAACACGCAATGGTGCCATCTGGTGCTTACATTTCGGCCATCCGCAAAACATCATCAAAAACAATAGCGTCAAACACCGACTACGACCAAGTCGAGACACCGGCGTCAGCGAAGCCGCAGAACTGCTTGGCTCCTGGCAACAAACAGCACAGCAAAACAAACACCAGCAAAACTTTCCAGATTTCGATCCTGGCCTGTGGGCACAGCTGCTCCACGACAGCGGCAGCTAGGTCTGCCTTGGTCACGTTGCTGCCTGCGACCCATTGGCGCACATCCAGCTGTCGGGCGAGTGCGCGAAGTTGGGGTCGGGCTTTGGCCGCCACCTCTTGCTGCAGCCACGCCTTGCCCTTCTCCGACAAACCAGCACGAAGCGTCGCCACGACAAGCTCTGCCTCGTCCTGCGCTGTCCATGAGATGAGGCAACCCGTCCGTAAGAAACACGACATGGTGCCATCTGGTGCTTACATTTCGGCCATCCGCAAAACATCATCAAAAACAATAGCGTCAAACACCGACTACGACCAAGTCGAGACACCGGCGTCAGCGAAGCCGCAGAACTGCTTGGCTCCTGGCAACAATCAGCACAGCAAAACAAACACCAGCAAAACTTTCCAGATTTCGATCCTGGCCTGTGGGCACAGCTGCTCCACGACAGCGGCAGCTAGGTCTGCCTTGGTCACGTTGCTGCCTGCGACCCATTGGCGCACATCCAGCTGTCGGGCGAGTGCGCGAAGTTGGGGTCGGGCTTTGGCCGCCACCTCTTGCTGCAGCCACGCTTTGCCATGCTGGGCCGCGCCAGCCTGAAGCCTAGCTACTTCGAGCTCCATGACTTCTGTTTGAGCCAAATCTCATCCGCAAGATGCCACATAACAACCAGCTGCGCCATGCCCGTAAATAAGCCGTGTGCGTCATGCTCCTCGCAACTTCTTTCATGGTGAGAACTCCTTGCGTCAAACTCCTACAGGGTGAGTGGCCTGAAAGCATAACTCCCCACGATGTACGGCACACTTGTTTAACCCCGGCCTGACACATGCGCAAGTTGCTCTGCGCAAGTTGCTTTGCGCAAGTTGCTCTGTGCGAGTTGCAGTGTGTGCAAGTTGGCGCGAGACAGCACCAGGCAAGGTGCTCTGCGCAAACTGGTCGGTGCAAGTTGGTCTGCGCAAGTTGCTCTACGCAAGTTGCACTGTGCAAGTTGCTCTGCGCAAGTTGCTCCGCGCAAGTTGCTCCGGCAAGTTGGTCCCTGCAAGTGGCTCCCTGCAAGTTGCTCTGTGCAAATTGCGCTCCCTGCAAGTTGCTCTGTGCAAGCTGCTCTGTGCAAGTTGCTCTGTGCAAGTTGCTCTGCGTAAGTTGCTCTGCGCAAGTTGCTCTAGGCAAGGCGCTCTGCGCAAACTGGTCGGTGCAAGTTGGTCTGCGCAAGTTGCTCTGTGCAACTTGCTCTGCGCAAGTTGCTCTGCGCAAGTTGCTTTAAAAATGCAAGTTGCATCTTGCGACGCCCGCCCGCGGACCAGGGAGGAATCGAACCCGCGACCCGCCGGTTCCGGGAGCAGGCGCGCGAACCACGAGACAACTCCCGAGGACCAGTTCGAACACAAAAGTCGCAAACCTCGAGTTTTTGCACCTCGACCACGCCGATTCCCGCAGAGGGTTGCGCGAGCACCGCAGAAATCGCAAAAAAACCTCGAGTTTTTGCACCTCGACCACGCCGATCCCCGCAGAGGGTCGCGCGGGAACTTTAGAAATCGCAAAAAACCATGGGTTTTTGCACCTCGACCACGCCGATCCCCGCAGAGGGTCGCGCGAGCAGGTTAGAAATCGCAAAAAACCATGGGTTTTTGCACCTCGACCACGCCGATCCCCGCAGAGGGTCGATTTTCGTGTAGTGTCGTCGGCACTACCCCGCCGCCCTAAGAAGAGATTTTAACTCCTCGCAAGTCAATTGCACTTGACTCCTTGCACTTGCAACTTGCACTCGACTCCCTACACTTGCACAACTTGCACTTGACTCCATGCACTTGCAACTTGCACCTGACTCCTTGCACTTGCAACTTGCACTTGACTCCTTGCACTTGCAACTTGCACTTGACTCCATGCGCAGCTCGCAATGACTCTCATGACTCCTTGCAATGACTCCTTGCAATGACTCCTTGCAATGACTCCTTGCAATGACTCCTTGCAATGACTCCTTGCAATGACTCCTTGCAATGACTCCTTCAATGACTCCTTGCAATGACTCCTTGCAATGACTCCTTGCAATGACTCCTTGCAATGACTCCTTGCAATGACTCCTTGCAATGACTCCTTGCAATGACTCCTTGCAATGACTCCTTGCAATGACTCCTTGCAATGACTCCTTGCAATGACTCCTTGCAATGACTCCTTGCAATGACTCCTTGCAATGACTCCTTGCAATGACTCCTTGCAATGACTCCTTGCAATGACTCCTTGCAATGACTCCTTGCAATGACTCCTTGCAATGACTCCTTGCCATGACTCCTTGCAATGACTCCTTGCAATGACTCCTTGCAATGACTCCTTGCAATGACTCCTTGCAATGACTCCTTGCAATGACTCCTTGCAATGACTCCTTGCAATGACTCCTTGCAATGACTCCTTGCAATGACTCCTTGCAATGACTCCTTGCATGAATGACTCCTTGCAATGAATGACTCCTTGCAATGACTCCTTGCAATGACTCCTTGCAAGGACTCCTTGCAATGACTCCTTGCAATGACTCCTTGCAATGACTCCTTGCATTGACTTTTATGATGATGATTCCTTGCAATGACACCTTGTAATGACTCTCATGAGAACAACTCAAGTGAACCCAGCAGAAGAACCCTTCGCCATGCTTTCGGGAAAAGGTGTGCCTGCACGCAAATCAGGCTGTTCTTCTTGCACATGCTTTGTTGGAATAGATTCAACTAAATCAGACCTGTCAAGGTGAGCAAGCAATCATAAGGCCCACTCATGCAGCAAAGCACTGCGTCTTCATCTTCTTCATCCACACCTGGCGCAGCATCTGAAATCCATCAGCGGAACTTATGACGTGTTAACTATGCAGCTTGAAGTTGTTTCGCAAAACCAAGAAGACACCACCCATTTTGTGGAGTTCCTCCGACACAAACCTGGAAACCTGCATCAGCAGAAGCTGTGATATGAAGCCTCTTTGCTCAGGCTGGACTGGGACGCAGGCAAAGATGTGGAGATCTCAGAGAGGGAGAGAGCGGCACGGCCATGACCCGCCTTTGGGGGTCTAAACGTGAATGCCACGAAACCATCACATGTAGTCTTGGACTCACTGTGGCTGGACAATGTCTCTAAGCTCCAAGCTGTAGCACCGGTGATGGACTTGGTGCCCTGCAAAACACTGCCACCGCTATTGCCCTTCATTCTGGTTCCGCCAAACGAGGTGAGCCCAGGAACCCATAACCAAAAGCAAACGGAAGTGCAGTCAACCTGGGGACAGGTGCGGGGTTTGCCGTCAAGTCTCCAACCACCAGTAGCACTGCTCGCTTCTTGCAAAGAACGGCGCACTCTATCCTGGTCCGAGCAAGCACTTTCCCACTGATCAAACAATTTGCTTGCCTCTTTTAGCAAAAAAAAGATCGAAAGGTTTCCGGGCAGCCGGAGTTGGTCAAATTTTGCATCGAGCTGAACTCAAATCAGTTTCCGCCGAAACGCCGCCCGCTAAGCTTCAGCCTGTGTCACGGCCCGCAAAAAGCTTGTTTGCTTTTTTCATCAAGTTTTGCATCAGCTCTCGTGACACATCAAAGCTTGCGCTCCATTGTTAGCCACAGAGCGCAACCTGGCGGCCTAGGGTTTTCACCTTCACGGCTCCGTCCGCGCCGCGGTGTCGCAGTCTTGCCGCCCACGCCGCACTGTTCCTCAGCCTCGCTCTCGCGCCAGCGCCAAGCCCGCGCGTTGCGACGCGCTGCAACCGCAACTAGTTGGTAGTATCCATCTGCGCGTGCGCCTCATTGCTGGATGCAAGTCACAAAAGAGCTCAGCATTGAGAGAAGGCGCGCTGGGTGCCCAATCCTACCTCTGTCCACACCGCGCGGCCAACTCGCGCGCCAACATGCAGTGCAGTCCGCAAGCCAAGCATCAGAGATGTTTTTGGGACACGCATCAAGAGCGCAAGAACAAGATGAGACAAAAGAGACGATGTACGAAACTAGCATGCCGCTCTTCAAAAAAGATCGGACCAGGCCTCGCCAGGCTGGCGCCCACCCTAGAAGGCTTCAGCACCTCCTAAGCAAAGTGCGCACCTCTGCTTGCAATTCCAACATTGGACTTTGTGTTTGTTTGTCAAAAAGAAAGATTAGGGGCGCAAGCCCTGCTTCTTTCCAGTGGCGTTCTCACACTTCTTCACACTTCTTTCGATGGCAGAAAGCAGCTGGAACTTGTTTTTGGTCATGTCATGCTTCGAAAGGAAACGCACACTTCCTCAGCTGATGACGCAACCCACTGAGAGAAGCAACGGCAAATAAAAATTATTGAGTAGTGATCTGTTAAATCCGTAAAGAGGAGCCACAAAAGATCTGAACGCTCTGGTAAGTTGGTAGCTCGACATGTTTTGTTGCTCTGCCTAGACATACCGTCGACAAACCTGCAACCAGTAGGATTTATCTCTCACAAAAGGCTAGCAGACTAGCACACAAAAAGCTAGCAGACTAGCACACAGATATGCAAGGTTTGCTGGCAAACCACACTGACCACTGCAAAGCTCGAGGAACATCGTGGACTTGCTCTAGCGTGCCAATATCACTATGCTGTCGAAGCTCATGATGGGATGCTAATTGAAAATAAAGTCTTCTAAAGCTGCTCTAGAATGGGCAGTTGTTGTGTCCGTTACAGCTGAGCAAATTGCTGGTGAGTCGGGTGGGTATGGACGGTGTGAATGTGCGGATGAGGGCAAACACTCACCATGTCTGTACCCGGGATTTCACGATTGATTCTAAGAGTCCGGCTGAGTATGGCGATGATGGGAGCCAAACCTGGATGGTTCGCAATATTCGCGAACAGCTCCACTTGCAAGCGAGCTGGGCAGACTGCATCAAGGCGGTGCCTGCAACTCGCTACCAACGCCAAAGAAACGATTCCAACCAAGGCCCATGCATTTGCTGCATTCCACGCTTTTGAACCTCAAGCAGCGAAATATTGAATTGAATGCAATGCGCAAAATCGCCGCAAATAGATGAGCCCAACACTGCCCCAGGGAAGAAAAGTCCAGCGCGGATCTCGCCCGAGATCTTGCGGCAGCTTACCTTCTCCTGGCTTCGATCTACTTGCCGAGGCTTCGAGTCTGTGAGGCTACCCGGAGCTCTGGTCGAGTCAGTGTCAAGTGCTTCCTGGGCAACGCAAGTGTCGCCCAAAAGACGAAAAGACGAAAAGACGGAGACACGCGGACGCGACTTGCAGCAGAGATGCTCATGTTGCCACGTCGCATTCTCGCGCAAAAGCCTGTGAGTCTTTGTGTCCCGGCTGTGCAGCCTGGGATCTTCGGACAGACTTGCTTCATTTCAACTCATTCCCTTCAGCTGTCTGCAGCATGCCTGGTAGGCTTGCAAACTATTGCATTAAACTCTGCAAAACCTGTTAGTGCATGCCACCAGCACAACTCGAATGACTTCAGGAGTCTTGCAACACCCTCCGGCTTCTTGTGCCACCTGGGCACTGCCTGATAAGCCGATCCTTTTCCTTCTGCTTGTCAGCAAACAAAGTCCTTAGAGTGCCCCCAACATCCTCAACACCTAGGACACTGCAGATCTTCCATTGCCGTCCCAGAATCGGCGACCATTGCGTAGCAGCTGTTGTTGCCAAATCCTCCCATTCGCGCTGCTGCTTCTCCATCAGCCTGGTCTGGGTTCTCGTGTAGATTGAGTTTTGGGGTTTTGGGTTCCTCGTACACCCATGCCCCGCCTCTGAAGCTGCCTCCTGTGAGCTTCGTTAACCTTAGCTGAGGTTTGACCTCTAGAAAGGCTCTGTAGCATCTCGCCTCGCCGCCCGAGTCTCGAGGCGTGCGTGCCCTGAGCCGAGCTCACAGACTCTCCCAGTGAACTCTACGCAAGGCACTGGCCTGGGGAGGCGACCTGCGACTCAACGCTTTGCAAAGTGGCGAGAGCCACCAGACTACACACCGAGCTCGGCGCTGGAAGGCTTGGCTGGCTCTGGGAGACCCTCAATCAACAGAGCCCAGACTGGAGGACACATGCCCATGCATTTACTGCTTAGTACAATGAAAGCCTCAGAACTGCATATATCCAATGCAGATTCCTGCTTTCTCTTTGCGTGGATTTTGCTTCCCTCAGCCCACCTGGCCTGCAATTCGAGCTCCCCTAGAGATGTCATCAGAGCCTCCTTCAAGAAATCCGCACGCCCTGAATGCCCAGACGCGGAGCCGTGCAAAAAGATTGTTTTTGCAGAGCCACATGCATACAACCAAATGCTGCCCAGGCACGTTGCATTCGAGAAAACATCTGTGTTCCCACACTGGAAATTGCCTGCATGCAATGCGCACATCCTACAGGTGTGATGCGACGCCGAAGAATGCAAAGAAACTTGACGAGTCTGATCCTTCTCTCTGGTTGCGTTGCAAAGCAAAAGGCCTCTTTGAGATCTGCAGGAACGCGCGTCCGTACGTCAGCAGCATCCATACGCAAAAGGCCCACCTGGCTAACATGCTTCGGCTGGGGCCTCAAACTGTCTTTACCAATTCCGAGCCGCAACTCTGAAATATAGACGCCTTCCTCTGCAAAAAGGTAACCGCCTCCGAGCTGGCACAAACAATGGTAAAGGGCTCAGTCTCGATGGCTCCAACCTAGTGTACATGACACAGCCAGTTCTGACTGCAACACACGTGAGCTTAGCCAATTTAGGCGCTGCACGGTCGAAAGGCCAACAAACTGGCCTTTCCCTATTTCACCAACATCCTGCCAGCAAATGCGTGTAAAGCTCGTGAATCCAACCCTCACGTGTCTCTCCTGCATAAGCCCGTCTTGGCGTGAGCGGACTTTGCAAAGCCCATCCTGGCAAAAACAGGTCTCCATGATTGGCCTGCGCTTGGCTCTTGCGTGCGCACCCGGATGATCATCAGTCGATCGCAGGGCTTGCCCGCAGTGCACAGCCTTTCGCGGAGGTGCGGAATCTGTCACAAGTAACTGCCAATGGGCCCAAAACCCCTCGAGGTCTCAAACCAAACCTGGAAATCTGCTGCCGCTTGTTGAGTGTGCAGGCGTGCAAGTGATAGGGCTGTCTTGGGTCTGGAATGGGTGTCGTGTTCCAATAATCCTGTCAAAGCCACATGATTTTCCAGCACATGCATACATTCATTCATAAAACACGCATGTATGCAAACAATCGCATAGCACTACATAACAAAACACGGCATGACACAAGACAACTGGACACACAATGACATTACACAACATAACATATCATGACGCAGCAAAAAGAACGCTTCATTGCGTTGTCATTGCCCGGCATTACATACATACATACATACATACCATACCATACCATACCATACCATACCATACCATACCATACCATACATACATACATTACATTACATTACATTACATTACATTACATACATACATACATACATACATACATACATACATACATACATTACATACATACATACATACATACATACATACATTACATTACATTACGTTACATTACATTACATTACATTACATTACATTACATTACATTACATTACATTACATTACATTACATTACATTACATTACATTACATACATACATATACACACACATACATACATACATACATACATACATACATACATACATACATACATTACATACATACATACATACATACATACATACATACATACATACATACATACATACATACATACATACATACATACATACATACATACATACATACATACATACATACATACATACATATACATACATACATTACATACATACATACATATACACATACATACATTACATTACATTACATTACATACATTACATTACATACATACATTACATACATACATTACATTACATTACATTACACTACATTACATTACATACACTACATTACATTACATACATACATACATACAACATACATTACATACATTACATACATTGCATACATTACATACATTACATACATACATACATACATACATACATACATACATACATACATACATACATACATACATACATACATACATACATACATACATACATACATACATACATACATACATACATACATACATACATACATACATACATACATACATACATACATACATACATACATACATACATACATACATACATACATACATACATACATACATACATACATACATACATACATACATACATACATACATACATACATACATACATACATACATACATACATACATACATACATACATACATACATACATACATACATACATACATACATACATACATACATACATACATACATACATACATACATACATACATACATACATACATACATACATACATACATACATACATACATACATACATACATACATACATACATACATACATACATACATACATACATACATACATACATACATACATACATACATACATACATACATACATACATACATACATACATACATACATACATACATACATACATACATACATACATACATACATACATACATACATACATACATACATACATTACATACATACATACATACATACATACATACATACATACATACATACATACATACATACATACATACATACATACATACATACATACATACATACATACATACATACATACATACATACATACATACATACATACATACATACATACATACATACATACATACATACATACATACATACATACATACATACATACATACATACATACATACATACATACATACATACATACATACATACATACATACATACATACATACATACATACATACATACATACATACATACATACATACATACATACATACATTACATACATTCCATACATTCCATACATACATACATACATACATACATACATGCATTACATACATACATACATTACATTCATACATACATACATTTCATACATACATTCATAACATACATACATACATACATACATACCTACCTACATACATACATACATACATACATACATACATACATTACATACATACATACATACATACATACATACATACATACATACATACATACATACATTACATTAGATTGCATTACATTACATTACATTACATTACATACATACATACATACATTACATTAGATTGCATTACATTACATTACATTACATTACATACATACATACATTACATTACATTACATTACATTACATACATTACATACATTACATTGCATTGCATTGCATTACATTACATTACATTACGTTACGTTACATTACATTACATTCCATTACATACATACATACATACATACAACATACATTACATACATTACATACATTGCATACATTACATTACATTACATTACATTACATAACATAACATAGCATAGCATAACATACATACATACATACATTACATACATTACATTACATACATACATACATACATACATACATACATACATACATACATACATACATAACATTACATAACATAACATAACATACCATAACATAACATTACATAACATAACACAACATACATACATAACATAACATAACATAACAGAACAGAACATAACATAACACAACATACATACACACATACATACATACATACATACATACATACATACATGCATGCATGCATGCATGCATACATACATACATTACATTACATTACATTACATTACATTACATTACATTACATTACATTACATTACATTACATACATACATACATACATACATACATTACTTTACATTACATTACATTACATTACATTACATTACATTACATTACATTACATACATACATACATACATACATACATACATACACACATGCACACATACAATACATCACATTCTGTGTCCAACTAGATCTTAAAGAGGACTTCCTTTCCCGGACGTTTTGCCAGTGTCTAACTAAAATCTTGATAAACTTTATTAAGGCAACCTTTTTGTGCCTTCCCCCAAAGCACAAGATTAGGCAGAAAACAGCGCAAATGCCATTGACACCAAAAAAACAGTAGACATTTAGGGGGGAACATATTTATATACACACATATCAGAAAAGTTAATTCCAACTAAACAAAGAATACAAAGAGACACCTGCCCTCACGCTTCCACGCCAAGGCCGGCGCACTTTTCCACGGTGAGCCTGATGCTCTGAGAAGAAGCCGCCGAGTATCTGACAGGATGCGGATTGAAGCCATCCAACAAGCTAGGGTAGGCGCAGAGTGAACTAGCTTGGGTCTGGCTGACTCACAGACAACTAGGATGATCAAAGGTTGGCACCTTATCTCAACTGAATCATGTCTTTCACAATCCGCCTCGGCACCTCAAAGACCCTCCGGATATTAGGGTCTTCAACTCAAGCCTTTGAACACCCCTCGCATACTGCATTGGGTGTAATGAAATGGGCCCGTTATATAATGCTTCCGGAGGTCCGGAAGTAGTAGCACCAAAGGCATCAAAAGTCGAAGGCATCAGCATTGCCAAACGTCTGCAACTGTCCACTCGGAAGGGTGCGGCACAAAATCACCATAGACTAGCGTCGAATGTGTTCGGGCGTGATCAAAGCAGAGGAAAGACTAGTTGGGTTTTGAGTTTGAATCTCAAGCAATTATGAGGCCTTCATCCTTGCAAAGGTCTTGGACCACAGCGCTTATGTTACCCGCTGGCTGCCACTTGTACAAGGCTTAGACAAAAGCCAAAAAAGGCCGAGGGAGAAACCCTCCAAACACCTTGACAAGAATCCGAAGATCATGCAAACTGGCATCACGCCAAGAAAACGCCCACAGTCTCGTGATATTACCACGGAAATGCAAAGCACAAAACCGTTTACTACGGCGTAGACTGTCCTGTTTTGACAGCCTGCAACTCCTGTGACTGGCTTCTCTGATCCACCCCATAGCCTGTGCATGATCTCCGCCAACCGATGTTTTTGGCCTCGCTGAACTCTACTTTCCAGCATTCGCTTAAATTCAATTGTGCCATCAAGCTTAGTGTCTTGCACTCACACGTGTGACATGAACCGTTCTTTGCCCTCTGCTAACTAATGAGAAGCCAACAAGTGTTCCCGCAGGAAGTTTGCTCTCTTCTGCTCCTGCAGACAAGCCCGAGCCAATCATGTGCACTGCGACATCGGCAACACACGTCGCAGTCCCGGGCGAGGTATGCCGCGCGCAACTCAGCTTCAAAAAGGCTCTTGCTGATGGCGCCCAACCTCTGGCAGTCACTGGACTGCTGGAGTCTTCTCTGAGTCTGCTGAGTCTGTTGACTGACAATGCTCCGATGCCACAATGGACCTTAAAATTGCCATATTCAATCACCACACACAGGCTGTCAGTGCGACACGCGTTTCGGAGAGCTCCATGCAATAGGCCAGCCTGGACCGAGCCGGAAAGTGTGCAGTGTGCCTGAGAACAGTCTCCCGTCCTCTCCGAAGCATGCACCAACCTTCATCACCTAGCATGTGCATCTCACACTAGCCCACTGCTCCGCTCCAACGTCGCCTTCACCTGCGTTGCGTTCATCGGTCCACCTGTGGCCTGAAGGAATCTTTGGGACTCCCCTTGCTTGCAGTTCGACTCAGGATGCAACTGAATCGATGGCGTTGTCTCCCAGCTCCTATGCTCGGATACAAGCTTATTGCCGCAAAAAGAATCTGTGCCTGCGGCAAATCGCCGGCTTGCGGACTTGTAAGGCTATGTACAGGACCTTCAAGACCTTGTACAGGGTGCGCACTACATCCAGTCCAACCAAAGGCTTGGCGCAAAATGCAGTACTGCTAGATTCCAAGGCCTTTCTCCTTCACAAAGCCGATCTCTTTGGTGCCGGCACCTTCAAAGCATAAGTCTGACAGTTCCAGCCTGCATCTTGCTTGATCGGCCAAGTCCAGCACCGCCCCTCAAGGCAAAGGCATTCACGGCCAACAGCTTTCCCACCTCTTGCACCGACACTGAGGATCGCGCTTCACGGCCAACAGCTTCATTGCAGCCTGTCAATGAAGGTAGCCATCACCACCCAGCAAGTTGGCATTAAATCGAAGCGTCTGAGACATGCCATCTGCCTGCTTCAACCTCTTCACTGCGCTTGTGGGGGTTTCGGGAACTTCTGCGGGCGATTTGATCGTTCTCGGAGAATTCAGAGAGGTTGGAGACAGGAGCTGAAGGTCATTGCCATCAGGAATCTCAGTCGGGTTTTCATCGTCCTCGTTGCAAGCATATTCCTACCCACAAACAGCTAGCATCCAGGATCTAGTCCTCCTTGGGCTTCGTGCTGTCGACCCAAACACCAGCTGTGCCTTTGAGGAGGACATAGCACCTGGACACAGAAACCTATTTTTAGTGAGAACGGAATTAGGCCGTGCTTGCCCAAGAGCCCAACACATCAGCAATATCTCCTTGCTTGATGATGACTGAATGCCTTGGCATGTCTTGTTGAATCGGAGATCTATCATGAGAGCATCCCAGTAAGGTTGAGGCCGGCTAAACTCGGTGTAGGACCTTCATTGATTGATTGGATCAGACTGCCTTTTCTCAAATTCAAACAAACATGAGCTACTTGAATAGTGCCACTCAGAAACTGACATGCCGCGGCAAATCTCCTTCAGGAGGGACTCCTTGGCTAATCTTGCCCTTGACATGCCACACCCTACACCAATCACAGAAGACCCAGCAGAGTGGCGTGGCTTAGTCAAATATGTATGCCAAAGGGTAACATACAGAGCTGTCAGTCCTCTTGCTCATTGAAGAACTTGTTGTTCTGCAGCAGCTTAACGAGTAAAGCCTTCGTAAGGATAAACTGATTGCGGCAAGCATAGCTTCAGGCTAAGTCAGCATTCCTTCCTCAGCTCATTGCAACATCTTCAAGGCTGCGCTGCTCTGGTGCCTGGCAACGGCGAAATGCCTTGACGCTTGCCACTTTGCGCACTTCAATGTCTGGTGCCTTGAACTTCAGTGTCTGGATGGCCCGATTGCGATCCGCAGAGGCTTTGTCCAGGGCTTTTTCTGCAAACGCCATGTAATCCAAGCAGAGTCCGGAGGCGAATTGCGCAGCTTTCCCGTGCCTCCAGCATGATGCACGACCGCTCCTTTTCCCTGCCAACATGGGCAGAAATCGGCAGAAACTGAAGGCGCTATGCGCTGGCCACCTGTGGCAGCTGACTCTTGTCCAGCCAAAAGAGACCTAGCTCATGGGGAGACTGCTCGAGCTGGAATGCTGGGCCAGCTAAACATGCAGCTAAGCCACGAGTGTCTTCCATCCTCACTGGAAACACCAATGTGATATGCTTGAAGGCAGCAACAAGAAACATATTACAGCATCGTGCGTGTGCATGTGCGTGTGCGTGAGCAAATGACCAAGGAAAAGATAGAACAACGTGATCATACCAGAATGCTTCCAGCTTCGCATCTCGACGCTGTCATGCAAAGAGCAAACAGTTCCCATTCTGAGGTGACCACGCATGGAGCAAGAAGTCCCCCGACATGCCAACCTTTTATGCGCGCATGTAAGGCAGCAGCTTACTTCGGTGTGCATGCAAACTGCCTCCTCCCCAATGAAAGCGCCGGATGGGATTCTAATCACCTCAACCTGTGGCAAAGCACAACGCGCCCAAAGCATGTCATAATGCTACGCAATTACATCCAGCGGCCTGCATTTCTCCCTTCAGCCGAATGCTAGCCTTGGTTGTCAAGTGAAATTGCGCTCTCAAGGTCCTTTCATCTTGGCTAACACGGAAATCTAGTAGCTTCAGCCATAAACGTGTTGCTATCTTCCGCATGCATGCCATACTACAGGCTCCGCAAAGAAACTTCGGTGCTAGACCAATGACAATAATCGATCGTGCATGCAGGCCTCACCGCGAAGAATTTGGCAACTGCATTGGGAACTCATCTCCAGATCCTCGGCACCCGCAGCAATTTTAAAGCCAAAGTTCTTACCTGTCCAAATGTCATGTTGCAAGGAAAAGGTGCATCCTGCCCAATGTCAAAAACTCTTGGACTGCCGCCCGACTTCGCCCCACTTTCCCATTTTGCCAAAACCGTGGAGCTAAGGTGCTCACATCGCCGCAGCTGAGGTGCCTGAAGCTCACGTTCTGGCAGAGCTCAATCCGGGCGAAGGCATCCACGGTGTTGTAGGGTTCTTGCCTTGTCTTGCATTTGCCTTGCATTTGCCTTGCCTTTGCCTTGCATGCATTTTGCATGGCTCGCCTTGCATAATCTGCAAGAAAAGCATTCAAACAGCATCCAGCCAATTTGGGAGCTGACTTCTCGAGTACACTGGATAACAGCTGGAGTTGTTGGAAAGACCTGACGGCGATTGAAGGAAAAATCAAATTGGCTTCTCACACTGGTGGAATGGGCAGGACTTCCAGCAGGCATCAACATGTGCCTTGAGCCAGTTTAGGTCATCCACCGCGCGGCCTTGCACTTGAAGGCATCTGCAGTGCTTCTTCCATCTCTGCTGCCTTTGGATCCTGGAAGGCCTCCAGTCACGGTTACGCCGCTACAGTCGTTGAGGTCAGCATCCAGCCTTTGGCAGTTGCTTGATTGCGGCCTGGAAGCACCAAACTTCCAGTGTGCTCTGGCTGCAATGCTCTCTAAACTGCAAGCGCCTGGAAGGCTGGCCTTGGCACCTACATATCGCAGCGGATATTGGGCTCAAAGGGAACCACGCAATCACTCTCGCCTCATATAACAAGCACTCCTCTCCCGCCGCTCGGTAATGATGCGCCCAGCCTAGCTGTCTAGCCAAATGCAAGTCCGATACTACTTTGCCACAACAACACGCATACTGAACTGAAACTTGAATTGATGCACCAGCTTGGTGCTGCACTGGCGTCTGACTGTCCAAACGCAAACACCGAGTCGCCAATCACGGCACCTCACTCACAGAATGCACTGTCTCCAAGATGCATCACATACAAAACTGCCACGAAGTTCAAATCAAAGCGGCCTGGCTGAAGGATGCGTGTCGCCTCCTCCAAAGCAAAGCTTTGGATGTGCGAGACCGGCAAAACTGATGTTCTTTGTTTTCCGCACGAGATGTCGTCCTCCTCTTGCGCGGACTGGTTCGGCAACTTTAGCCTTTCTCACGTAAATGTAATATTGGCTTGCTAGCATCCAGAATTGAATCTGCAGGCAAGTCGAAACAAGGGTGCGGCTCCAGCTTGCCGTGGATCAGCATGAAACAGGAATCCAAAGTCTCCTCCTCGCAAACACATTTGTTCTACATGTTGTTCCTGTATGTCACTTTACATCGGCTTTTCCATGGCTTCGCCTCTCTGCAAAGCCAGTTCTGTGCTGGAAGACGTTGCAATCGGCCGCTGCCGAGAATGTGCTTCCGCACCACGCGCCTCACATCACAAGCATGTTTGCGTATGTATCAGTTTTGTGAGCCGCTCACGGAAGCACGCGCAAACATGCACATCTTGCCAATGGCGTCTCCTGAATTCAGACCAAATGGCGAACTGAACGCTGCGATTTGTCTACCAGTCTGCAGTCCTCAAGCCAGTTAAGATCTGTGGCCGACAAATGCTCTTGAGGAATGGAGCCAGCTAGAAACGCTGTTACCTGGCAAACATGCCACGTGCGAGCTGTGGAGAAAAACACATACATATACAGTAACACATTGAAGCTCACACCTCTAACGGCGCGTTTTGCGAGCGATGCTGTTGCACCTTGGTGCAGCAAAAACAGGCAGGCACAAGCAACAAGTACAGGGCTGAGATCTGTGCATGGCGCTGGTATTCATTTTTTGACACGCAAAACGCCTGATGCATTGTTGAGACATCTACATTGAAGAAGTATTTGCTTGCTCATGTTGCCTTGCCATTGGAGAGAGAGACAAGGCTGACCTCAGAAAGTCGTTGGGATCATGCATGTCGTGCCAGCCGGAATGGATTGAAATCAATCTGTGACTCAGGCACTGCATTTGTATCCAGCGGCGAGAGCCCATTCACTGTGCCTCACATGGTGGTCCTGACTTGCAGCTGGCTTCTTGTAGCTTGCCTCTCAGACCTTGCCCATCCTTCAGAATGACATCAACGCATGTTTGAGGTGCTGCACGTGCTTCTAGGCCAGAAGAATGAAGTCCTTTCACAACCGCACTTGACATCATCTGCTTGTCTGCTGGAATAACCAACGAGTGACACTCCTTGACTCCGACGTGAAGCTGTTCTCATGACTTGTGGAGCCTGCAAAATGCAGCATCAATAGGCAAGGCATCAAAGACTGATCCTCCAAGGCGGATCTGGCACTCAGAATGGCATCCTTGCCAAAGCAAGGAGAGTTGCAGAGAGTTCCGGCCCGCGACACACGTCAGCGTCTATGCAAAACACTGAGCCGGCTGCTGCCCTTATTCTCTTGTGCGCTGAAGGCGCGGCACCTGCGCGCGCAAGTTGCACCCGTCGTTCACTTCCATCAGGCCATCAGGCTTGGGATTTCGAATTCCAAACCCTGCCATGTCGCTTGTAAATCGACCCCGAGTATTCCAGAAACGCAAATGTGTCTTGCTCCAAGAGCCTGGAGCCCGCGCCTTCAGGAAGAGAACGCCAGGCAGTTATCACCTCGTTCTGGGCTGCTTCACAAGGATTTTCAAGCTCAAGGCTTCCAAAGGATTTGATTCAAAATCATCTCATCATTTGTTTGCTGCAGATTGTTTTGCTGGATTTCCTCTGGGTCGGCGTGCCACTGACAAGGGTATGAGAATCTCTGCCGGTGTCTGGCCTTCCCAGGTAAGAACCTGCAGAGTTGTGAGTGTGGTTGCCCGCACTCAGTGTGACCTTGAGCCTCATTTTTTTGTAGCACCCGCACTTGAAGAGCATATGCCACCTTGGCAAGGTGTACCGCGATGATCGCGATCGGCTACGAAGTGTTAAGAAAACGACTGCTTCAAGACTGTCCTGCGACAAGGCAAACATCGGCATTCGCCTGACCAACAGCCACGCAGTCACGCCCCATTGGAAACTCCACAAATTTGGAGAACATGGACCTGATGCATATCGCGCCTGAGGTAGTGCGAAATCATCGCTAAATCAGACATGCTGCGCATCCCTGGCAACCTCCGCTTCGACTGCCGCGAAACAGATGTACGGATACCTCATAAGGCGCGCACTTTGAAGCAGCATGAAAGGCTGCAGCCTGAGACAAAACGGCAATGCAAACAGTTAAACCTTCTCAGGCTCCGGCTCGCTCAGCTGCACATTGAAATGGAGATCCAAGCCTATCCGAGGCAACTACCTTCCTTTCAACACTTGTGCTGGCCGCTGGCCTGGCTACAAATTCGTCGTCTATCGGAGTGCTTGCCACCAGTAGCTCTGAGCAAGCCAGCGGATCCTCCGAGACAAGGTTGCCGACGATTTCCCATGCATATGTGCTAGCTGGCTCCCATGCGTCCTTATTTTCCGGCTCCCAGCGGTACCATGATGGCATGAAGCTCGGCAGGTCCACCATGATGTCCCCAGGCCGAAGGCTGCCTGAGGCTTTCTCAGCTTGAAATACTAAGACTTTGTTGTAAAATGCCACCCCTCACAAGCTACTGGAGTTTCACCCAATTCCCCAAAATGCAACCATCCGTCCAACACCTCCAAGGTGCATAGCACTGGCTTGTCCTTTTCCAACCAGCGCTGCTTGCGGCGATGGGAAATGCAGCACAACGGGAGCAAGCACGCTGACCCCTTCAAGCCCCAGCAAATAAGGGGGGGGAGTAAACCAGCCCAATCGTCGGTCAACCGCCCCCACCTGCAGCACTACCTCTTCAAGGAAGCATGCAGACACGAGGGCACAGGGTGCCGAAGCAACAGGCCTACCACATGAAGGGAAAGCCAGCAACCCCCTAAACTGGTTAAATTGGCAACTGCGAAATTGGATCAAGGGTGGGCACGGGGGCAACTAGAAGCACTGCCTTTGAGCATTGCTGCGTGTTCAACTCTCTTCGCTTGTGACTGTCACACAAACAAGCAGAATGTGACTCAACCACAAGCTACTGGAGTTTCACCCAATTCCCCAAAATGCAACCATCCGTCCAACACCTCCAAGGTGCATAGCACTGGCTTGTCCTTTTCCAACCAGCGCTGCTTGCAGCGAGGGGAAAGGCAGCACAACGGGAGCAAGCACGCTGACCCCTTCAAGCCCCAGCAAATAAGGGGGGGAGTAAACCAGCCCAATCGTCGGTCAACCGCCCCCACCTGCAGCACTACCTCTTCAAGGAAGCATGCAGCACAGGGTGCCGAAGCAACAGGCCTACCACATGAAGGGAAAGCCAGCAACCCATCGTCGCTCATTTCTTTCCCCCATCGCCGCTGGAGGTCAGTCACTCTTCTTCGCCATCTGACATAACATGCAAGAAAGCAGCCATGTCAAGGACATCATGATCCACGTGATTTAGAACTGCTGCGGAGCGCCACTCTCCTGCTTGGAGAATTTGAGGAAATGGGTGGCCAGCTCTGGCCAACGCCGAAGCTTTGCCAGCTCTGAAAGATTTCCATCGATATCTCTCTGGTGAAGCCACGAGCAGCACTGCCGACAGTTTCTGAAATTTGCATAACATTGAGCCGCAGTCAGCTGGCACACCCTTTGGCCTGGGGCTGCAGCTGTGGAATATCTAGCGAGACGGTGACCCACGCACATCAAGCTGAAAGCGCCCGAGCACAGGCACGGGCGGGTCAACAGAGACCCTCTTGGCCGGTTCTTTCACCGGCGCAAACGAAGGTACGTCACTCCACTGCTGCTTACCCAAAGGGCCGAGCGCCGCCCAGCAGGCAGGTTCCGAAGATCGTTTTCCGTGCCCCATTGCACCGGCACGGCCTCGCTCGGCCCTTGCAACAGAAATTGCCACGTAAGTAAGAAAATGTCGCCAATTGCGGCATGTTCGGGCAATTTGTTGCACAAGGTAATCAATTTGAGCATTGTGTCCTCGTCCAAAAGCTTTGACTCCAAAAGCTGTCCCTCGCAGGACGCTTCAGCCTGCTTCTTCAGACCTTTGAGCGCCATAGTAACTTGACCGGTGTGCCAGTGCAACGACAAGCCCTGGAATACGCAAGCCCACTTCACATAACCCACATAGTTTGCTGCTGTGCCAGGATTGCGAAAAATTGACACAAACTGCACAATGTCCTGGGCTGACTGCGGCGGCAAAGAACGATCCGCCGCGTAGTTGAGAAGCTGCAGTGCAAAGTTGCGCCATAAGCGCAAGCCCGAAGCCACTGAGGGCAGGCTGCGAAGCTGGCTACTAGTTTTGAGGCGATCAGACGCGCTCTGAAGAACACACTGCGCCTGCTGTTGCGGCGTAGCAGCAAGCGTCGCTAACGCCTTCGCCGGGCCTAGCCAAACCGGCGACACTCTCAGCCTTGCTCAAAGTATTGGCCACGCCATCTGCTGACAAGGCATGGGAACTTTCTGCTGCAAGGAACAGCGCCGCCTTTTGACCACCTCGCTGTCATTGCTTATTTGCACCGCTTTTTGTAGCAAGCATCGCACTTTGGGTTCCTCAGACCAGCACGCCACTTGTTCAGGGTACAAGCCTTCCAGGTGGGATATATGCCAGAAACCATTGCCAATGAGCGTGAGCACAGCCTTGCGTTCAAAGACAGTTGGCGTTGGCGATGACTTATCACCGACAACCTGCATCAAGGCTAGAAAGGCATCCTGGAAACCACTAGCCTTGAGGCCCTGAAACGGACTGTTACCTTTGTCCGTGAAAACTGCTTTGTCTTGCTGCGCTAAACGCTTCCAAGCCAAGACCAACGAAGCCCTTCTTTGGAGCCACCGAGAGTCAAGCTGTCTCCACACAACATCTGAGTGCAAAAGAAATCCAGCACCTGTGCGGTGGAGCGTCAGCTTGGACATTGTAAGCTTCTCAGCAGCGCCCAAAGCCTTTGCAAGGTTGTCTGGGACGCCTTGCATCCACACATTTAATGTGGATTCCACCCACGCCTGTGCCATGGCAATTTGCAATTCACTTGCAGAGTCATCATTGCAACCTTCACTTTCAAACAGCTAGTTCAAGCCACAACTGGCCCACACACAAATGGACTTCAGGGCCGCCCCCGTAACCCTTGGTGATGGCATGCAACACTGAATTGTTGTCCACAAAAGCGACCCAAAGGCACCCCTTTAAAAGTGGCGCAAAGGATCTCCAGGTGAGTAAAACACCCAGCAGCTCTTGAAATTGAATTTGGGAGTCGTGTTCAACACCTCTGCAGGTGTGCGAACTCTGGTCCACCAGAAGCTTCCTGCATGGTAAACTATGGTTGCCACCCAACAGCTCTCACCTGCAGCGTCAGACCAGGTAATCACCTTCGACCTGCCTTCCGGGGACAGACTTCTCACAGAAGAGGGGCAAAAGGTGGAGATACTTCACAAACCATGTGGCTGATGCTTGCAGCAAGGGGGGCACGGCAAACCCTGGCATGGGTGAATGGGCCTGTGCGTGAAACGGCTTGATAAAATCTTTTCCTGCCCTATTACCAGAGACAGAAACTGAAAAACTCAGGCGACCAGCCAGCTTCGACGCTTTATTTAGGGCCAACACACCGGATTCAAGCAAGGCCAGCAGCGACCGCTTATACTTCACTGCTTTAACCCGAGTTTTCAACTGCCTGGTGGCAAACCAAGCCTCCACCTCTGCACCCAAACACACCATGCGCAAGGTGTCGTCCGCATCCTTGGCATCATCCGTGGGGAAGCCAAGGAGAGTGCAGATGACGCTTAAAATCTTTCCTGCCGAATAACGTAAGCCTTTCCGCCCAGCCCTGAAGAAATCATCTACGTAACGGGCAACAGGGCACTTAAACATGTGGAGCAAAATCTGCGCAAGGAAAAAGCCAACTCGACGCCACGAGTAGACAGCTGACACAGTGCCAACGGGAATGCCGATGTGTTGCGCCGTCAGAAGAACCCCGCCGTTGGACCAAACTGTCCACGCGAACTCTGAGTGCGAGGCTTGAATGGGCACTCTTCTGAAGGCCTGCGACACATCCCGCTTCCACAGTTGAACTTCGCAGTTACGGCGGTAAAAGGCCATCACAATTTCAGAGAGAATGTCCAAGCTGTGATGTCTAATCTTGTCCACTGGCACCGTGGCAAGGTTGACGCCACTCTCCGTTTCATGGTCAACCACCCGCGTTCGCCACCCCTTGACCCGTTCTTCACGAACGGGAATTCGCCGAGTCAAAGTTTTGCTCAAGAGGTCATCAGGTTGTAAGGCGCGCGGCGGGGTCATGACATGCTGTTCAGAGTCTGTCAATGTTTGAGGCAGAATATCTTCAGAAAAAGGGAGCTCCTTTACAGCCTTCACCACAGCTTGGTTGATCCATTCACGCGACTCCCGCAATTCATCTACAGTAGCAACTACGGGAAAACTGCGGGGGGCGTTTTCACCCGCACGGTGGCAGTGGCCCAACCAAAGGGAAGCCTTGTTGCAGATGCTTGAGGAACATAGAGCCCGAAACTGGAAGACACTTGATCACCTCGGCCCACAACGGCCCATGGATGGACGCCACCAAGGGTTGCAAAGAGGCCGGCTCCTGCTCCAACCAGCCTTTCTGCGCCGGCTGAAGGGCCGCATGCATTCGGATCAACCTAGCCAAGGTAGCTTGGCGAAAGGAATCCACTGCCTCAACTGTTTGAAAGCACTCAAATTCAATGACTTCGAGAAGCTCCAGAAGCAGCTGCGGCTTTGACTCAGACGGGTGCGGTACGTGCAAAGCAAACGCCAGCGGTGCCATGTCTTTCCTCGCCCCCAGCCCGAAGGGCACTAAAATGCTTTCTGTGTCATTGATCAAGCGCGCCTCCTCTGCCAAATTGCAGAGCAAGAGGCAGCTGCGCTGAATCATTGTCTGGAGGCCACAAGCTGCTGTCTGATTGCTTTACATTCAAAGTTGCGTAAACAGCACGTGCTAAGTGGACACTCAAAAGAGGTGGGTAGGTTTGCGCCAAATGTGTCTTGAACACTGCGGCACCTTCCCACTTGGCCATCCCGCGCAGCGGAACCAATGTGCCAAACCACTCCCACACGCCGTCAGCCAACATGGAAAGAAACGGCGTGTTATGCAAAAACAATGTGGGCTTGGTAAACGGCACCACGAAATCCTTGAACAAGCAACGTGCAAATTGAACATTCGCTTGCTGTCGCAACTCTTGGTAAGATGGCAAAAGCCACAACCAAGAAAGCTCAGGATTCTCAATTGAGAAGAAGTTGCCCGCAGATAATTTGCGCCCTGGCCAGCTCGTACGAAAAATGCGCTAGCGCGTTGCCTTCATTTACCAGGCTTCGCCGTTTCTGAGTGAGCCCGGCACACCCCAACGGGCGCAAAGCGTCCCGTAACTGGGGTACACGTGCCCAAGTCATGGACTGACACGGGGTGGCCATGTGCAGCCAATTTTTCCGGCTGCAGCGAGCGTCAAAATGGCCGAGCCATGCAGCAAAACATTGAATTCTTGCCCGAAACGAATGTCCCAGGGCCTCAAACAAGGGCAGTCTGCCAGCTGTACTGCTGAAGTGAGAACGCCGGCGCCGGAGAAAGCTTCCAGGAACAAGGAGCCATCCGCAATTTGATCCAAGCTGAGCAGCATTTCAGGCATGTCAGCAACGCAGCCTGAGATCCCAGTGTCGCCAGCCCCTCAGCGCGACTTCTTGGCCTTTTGGAACTGGATACGCTCCTGCGTCTTTTCCCACCACTTCTGCGTCTTCGTGAGATGGCTTATCTTTGTTTGCGCTAGAGCTCATCGCTGATGCCTTTGCCAGAATCTGGCGCTGTGCGTCTGCCAGACTCTGGGCAACCTGGTCAGCTTTCTTCTTGGCCGCTTCAGCTGTTGCGATCTGTTGAGACCAAGACGCCTCCGCCTGCTTGCCGGGCCCTTGACTCAATGCCAGCTTGCTGCAAAACACTCGCCAGTCGCTGCTGAACAACTTCCAGCAAATCCTTGTCGATTTTGTGAGACTCAGACTTGAGATCAAAAGTAGGATCGCGCTTCTCAGCACGTCGTGCCCACTGGCGCCGGGCCATCTCGTCATACAAAAAGGCAGCGTATGGAGGTTTAGACTTGAGTCTTTCCTGTTCAGCCAACTGCAAGATCACATCTTGGTGAGCCGAGGCCTGAGCCATCAGCAAGTGCTCTGCGCTGATGGCGGCGGCCGCCCACCTCCAGTAAGCTGCCGACCATTGCTGCACTGATCGAGGAGCAGCTGTGGCCCCCTTCAACGCCTTGCCGAGGTCGCCAAGGTTAACCTTGACTGCTGCCGGTCAACGCAACATCTTCGTCATCACGCACCACAAACCGCCCCCCAACTGAGTCAACTGGAATCCAGAGTGGCAGGCACTCCTTGGCCGTGAGGTCCACACATGCAAAAGGAGTCCTCCCTGCTCGCTTGGCCTCCTCTGTGTGGGCCACGAGGCTATCAAACAGGGACTGGTCGGCTTGCAGGTGGTAACTCAGACCCGAAAGGCTGTGCTTGTTCAACAGATCTGCCACATCAACTGCTTTGCTTGGGGCAAGAGCAGCTGCTAAGGGCCTTTGCACTTGTCGCTGCTCCAGGACGACATGCTCGACCGGACAAACAGCTAATGCCAACTAGAAGCACTGCCTTTGAGCTTTGCTTGAGCCAAAATGGCTAACTAGAAGCACTGCCTTTGAGCATTGCTGCGTGTTCAACTCTCTTCGCTTGTGACTGTCACACAATCAAGCAGAATGTGACTCAACCACAATTTGATGGCTGTGGACAAGGGTGATTAGGAACGAAGGATAAGATTCAAAGCAACATCCGTGCCTGATCCTTTCCATTGTGCATCGCCATGCACGAGGATGCGAAGCTTGGCTGTTTTGCTCTTCTGCTCAGAACCTGGAAGCTGCTGCTCGGAACGGCCCAAGGCTGGCGCGTGAGGCTCGAGCTGTTCACGGCACTCATCTCTCTTGCCTGCTGCAACAACCTGATGCCAGCACGTCATGACTCATACTGCCATGGCAATGGCACGCAAAAAGCACAGCACAGGCACTGAACAGCTTGGAAGCCTTGCAGAGAACGACGTTGCGTGGTCTGTGGACCTGGCCACAAGGGAAAAGCACAACATGCCAACAGCTCGCGTGTTGCCTAGGCGAGTCCGAGTGCACCAGAAGTCCTTGCACGTCTCTACTGACCGGCTGTTGCAGGTCGCTCCACGCTGCACTTGTGCTACACTCCACATGTTGCTGCATCACGAAGAAAACCTTTGAGTTCCAAGCTCTCTTTGGTGTCGCCCTGCATGAGAACTGCATGAGAATCAATTCAACAGTTCAACGGTTCCCATGAGTTCCTGGTGCAACCTCTTACAAACTCACTCGTGCATTCCACTGGGCCTTCTTCAGAAAGGCAAGAGCAGCCTTTCCTGCAAACAAACATCTGCTCGACAAGACGCCTGTGCCCGTTCCGCCTACGACTTTGTCGTGTTTTTCCTTTTCGCTGTCCTCGGCGGGAAACAATGAACGGCAATGAAGTTTGCTCCGCAGAGAACACTGGTTCCGTGATAGAAAGGCTTTGTCAAATGCATAGCTAAATTGAGGCCTTGGCGTGCAAAACTTCTTGGGGTACTACCTTTGCGCAAAGCTTGTCCCCTTGTGGCGCAAAGGTTGTACTGTTTGTGACACCCGCGCAACTGCCGCGTAGATCCCCCAGCCTCTGGCTCCAGTCTAGCCGCAAGCCTGCAGGCATAGCACATGACTTGATATGAGGGTCAGGCGCAATGAGGGTTTGGCCATTGTATCTGAGCCGGCGGAAGCTTTTGCAAGCCCCGGTTGGTCTGCAAGAAGTGTACCAGCATCTGACGCACAGTGCTAGGCTTTGCCATCGAATGCTCCAGTGATCCTCTGGTTGAGGCCAAGGCTGTCAGCTCATCATCTTCTTCAATGGTCTCAAAGTCCTTCCAGCCCGAGCACGAGCAACCAAGGTGCAGAACCGAGAGTGTGTGTGTGTGCCCGTAAAAGGTCGCCCCTGGACACGGTCGGCTTTGGGGTCTGTCCAGGCCAGCAAATGCACAAACCTACTTTCCTTGGGAGCGGAAAATTGCAAACACTGGCATTTGAGGGTTCTGTGGCAAAAATAAGTCTGGCAACTTCAACTTGCTAGTTTCAGGTTGGTTTCTGGTTGGTTTACAATTCATTGGTTTAGGGTCATTTAGATTCCGCAATGTTGGATTTAGGGTGAGGCTTGGTTCCGGCTGGTTGGTCTTGGATGAAGGTTGATTTCAGCTAGGCTTCAGGATGGCTGCTGGTAAAATTGTGTGAAGCTTGGTTTCCGGCTGGGTCTGAGTGGCATGGGTTTAGACTGACTGAGGAGGCTAGGCTTTGTGGCGTCCAAGACAGAATCTGAGGGGTTGTAGGCACTTTTTAGATTGGGTTTTGTGCTGATTTCGGGTTTGTTTGTGATAGATTTGGAGGGCGGGTTCAAGATTGGTTGATCGTGGGACTTGTGTGGGTGGGAGCTCCGGTTCATTTTAGGGCTGAGATAGTGGAAGCCGCTGGACAAAAGCCGCGAAAGCCCAAACCCAAGGGAGCCAAAGAAAACATGACAAAACTGAATCCTCCTGGTCTTGTGAGGAAATCCAAGTACTGCCAGGCTCCTGACACAGTTGAAGGGCTGTTAGAATCGAAACCTGGGCCTCCCCTCATGAGCGCAGCCTCTTTCGCTTCCGCCCCCTCGACCGGCACATCCACCTTCCCTGTCTCCTGCAACACACACTGAGAGGCATTTGTGGGCCCAAGCTGCAAAGGATATCACCTCCTGCTGCTGCTTCTCTCGTTGCCGTCTGCGCAGGATCCACCACACCTGCACATGCCGAACCCATGGTCTTCGGTGCAGCCGCGAAAGCCCCACACCTCCGCCCGGTGCCTGCTTCCGCTCCATGTCCGACAAAGGCCCACCTTGTCCAACCTTGGCAACTGGTTCTCACGCACATGGACAGGCTCCCATCACTGTGCCTGGAAGTCTTGCAAAGCCATGAAGGAGGCCTTCGGGGGAATCGCAATGTGGGCATTCGACTTGAAGTGAAGCCGCAAGCCTCGATTGAGGCATCTGGTCCCATGCCTCAGCCAGTCGGCATGAGGCGATACCAAACTGAACAAAAGAAAAGGCAGGTGCTCTCATGATTGAGGGAGCTGAGGGCCAAGGCAGCCGCTCTCGTCGTCACTGACTTGTTCTGACGGGTCTGTGTATAGTCTCCAGCGAGGCAAAGCGTAGCGCAACACGTAGCAACAACATAACCCACATAACTGATAAGCAAGGCGTGCTACCTTCTTGCTCGGGCAGGACTTCCACCAATCCAGCTCCCTGGCCAAAAAAACAAAAACAAATCAAAAAACAATCGACGGTCGCTCGCAGCACAAAACGGCAAAGCTCTGCCTGCTGCCTTCTCTTGGTCAGCGCTTTGGCCCTGGCCAACGGAGTACAAACTAAAACGGCTGCGGCAACCACCTGCCTGACGCGCATCCAATTCAGCGCCGCTTCGGTGCCAAAGCGCTTTCCCGCCTGCCCGGCTACTTGGCGAAGGCTGTTGCTAAACTGAACTGCGTGCAGAATCATACAGCCAAACGTAGTTTGCCAGCCGACTTTTGGGCACATGTATGTAGACAAGGAGCCTGAAAAGGGAGACATCAAGGTGCGCTCGTCATGTTCCCTAAACATCCTGATAACTTAGTGCTGATGTCTCACTAAACACAATGAGAAAACTGTGTTATATGACCAGCTTCCATCGTCGGCCATGTCCATTTTACTGGAGGCCTCAGACATCGTCCTGATAAAAGAGCCCGGCTGGCTCAAATGCTCAAGCCGCGACCTTGGAGCAGACATTTGGACATTGCGCCCGGCTTTCAAGGAAAGGCTGTGGGTTCCTGGATCATCCCATAGGCCACATGTAACATCTCATGCCTCACTTGCGCAGAGTTCCTGCAACTTCAATGGCCGCTACTTTGCGAGGGCTGGCTCCTTCATGGTGATCAGATTCCGCGAGCATGCACTGGGCGAGGGACAGCCATCATCGAGTGGACGGTGCCGGTGCTGTGCAGGCCCAGGGTCCTGCCTCAGAGCCAACAATCATTGTTGCACTTTGGACTTTGAAGCTCCAAAAGTTAGGCCATCGGCACATGCCATGACTCAAAGTGTGCGCTTGCTTTGCGCACCTAAGTCCTGCATTTGCCGTGGTGTTCACAGCAACTGCAAGACTTTTGAGCCAAGCAAGGCATCTCTCCAGCACCGACAAGCACAAACTACCAAGGCATTTCGGCTGGGCACACCGGTGCTGTCAATGTAGGCCCGGCATCTAGTGATCTTGGTACCTGGCACGGTACATTCCTCAACAATATTGAGCATGCCGAACCAAACAAAACACAAGGCTGGTCACTTTGAAGTATCCGTCATCATCAGGTGGGCGAGGCCTTGGCAACATTACAAACTGCCCGTATGCTGGTCCGACTCAGCTGCGCACATGTCATCAAGTTCGTCGAATAGCCGGCTTCTGCAAAAGTCCTATCAAGCAGGCAGATCCGCCCATTGCTGCCAAAGTAAGTATCAGGACTGTATGGTAGCTACAGCTTCCAAGCTATGAAAAAGGCAGCTCCTGATCATGAGAACCTGGCTCACCCTCTGCGATGCACTCCTGGCGTGAGGTGACGTGACTGCAGAGTCAGCAAGTGTTTTTGCTTTGCGCCAGTGGAAGCAGGACATTGAATGGCACACAGTCCAAAGCAACCTATTGAATAACTGCCTTAATGCTCTTCGGCCGCGAGCTTAGCTCACAGAATCTGGGCGCCACGGACTTTGCTTCTTGCCAGTCCAAAAACCTTAAATGTCCATCAGCAAGCAACGAATAGCATGTCCATCTGAACTTAGCCAGGCACTTCTGCACAGCATCAGCCGCGTCTAGAAGCCCATCGCTGTCTTTCTGTTTTGGCATTGGCCTCAGAAAAGTTAGAATTGTAGCCTGAAGAAATGAATCACTGGCAAAAAAACTTGCACGCTCGCAATATTCAACCTGCAAGTGACAGCCAAAGGCTTGGGCCGGAAGGCGTTCTCGCCTGGAGGAAAGTTTTGGAGCCATGTGCAGTTTCCTTTGTGCTCAAGGTGAAACTTGGAGCTACCACATCTGCAGAATCCCCAAGCTGGCATTGCCAATGACATCCAGCGAGAACTGTCCTTGAATGGAAAATCCATGGCCCCACTCTTGCCTTCTTGCAAACGCGAATGACTCCTAGGAGCTGTGCCTGAGCGGCCCATGCTGTGCCCACTAGGCGGAGGGCAATTGGATTGCTGGGGCTCAACGGCCATGGCAGGTTGTACCAAGCCTTCTTGGAGTCACCTGCGCATGTGCAGAGTCTGGGGGCAGTTGACTTGTGTCGTCATCATCATCATCATCATCATCATCATCATCATCATCATCATCAGCAGCAGCAGACAAGGATCAATGCATGGGTGGGTGGGTGGGTGGGTGGGTGGGTGGATGGGTAAGTGGATGGATGGACGGACGGACGGACGGACGGATGGATGGATGGATGGATGGATGGATGGATGGATGGATGGATGGATGGATGGATGGATGGATTGGACAAACGGACGGACCGATTGTATAAATGCATGGCTGCTCCTCTTACTGCAAATGATGTATCCCGCCCCTATGTGGCTGCATAGTGCAAGCTCTGACAATGCACTTGTTCCGAGTGTTTGCTTGCGCTGATGTCAACGCATCAACAAAGCCAACGTATTGCATTCACTGTGCCTTGCGTTCCGTTCGGAAGCTTGTCGGTGTCAAGCTCGCATCGAAGACCCAACTTGGGATCCTGAACACGGAGCACCCAAGACAAAGATTTGGTATTTATAAAACGTGGAATTTGCCTCAGCGGCTCAAAGTTGTAATCGGGCAGGCCAAAGAATTGAAGGACCGGCACGATAAAGATTGTGGGATCCTTGCATGCGACTGCGTCGATTTCATGTCAACCATCCGACAGGCTTTGGCTGATAGAAGGCTTGCGTTGTGCGACATGTCCTCCGGTGTGACCTTCACGTTACAGGACTTCACGCTGTCACATGTATGGAGAAAACCCCTAGGTGTTGTGTCCACTTGAACTCAGACGCTCCACTGTTTCCAAGGCCCAAGTCCTCGCTTCACTGGAGGACGATTGGCCCGAAAGCATTTTTCCCCAAGCGCTCTTCCAGCCGCGCAGACACCTTTTTACACGCGGCGATGCTCAATGTGTATGATCACATGAGAGCTCCATCTCATTGTCCTACGCGGGGAAACATGGCAGTGTCTGCGCAAGCTGCCTTGTTCCAGGCCGCTGCGCGCAAGTTGCTTTCTGCAAGCTGCTGCACGCAAGTGGCTCGACATCTGTCTTCAAGCTGTTCTGCGCACGTTGCTCTGTGCAAGTTTCTCTCCGCAAGACGCTCGGCGCTTGTATCTGTGCGCAAGATGCTCAGCCTGAGCTGAGCTGTGGAGGCGCTCCGCGCACTATACGTCTGCACTTCAGGGTTGCGATTTTCCGGTCGGAGCCGCCAGGAGTACACTCCACATACTACGGCTTCTTTGCTTGAGCCGGAGCTGCCGCGGACGCGCAAACCACGAGACAACTTCCAAAGGCCATTTCGCGAGTAAGAAAATCGTGCACGATCTCCGCATAGGGTTCTTCCGCGCGCCGCAAAAACGCAAAAAAACTTCGAGTCTTTGCGCGCCGATCTCCGCAGAGGGTTCATCCACGCACCGCAAAAACGCAAAACACCTTGAGTTTTTGCACTTCGACCACGCCGATCCCCGCAGAGGGTCGCGCGGGCACCGCAAGAATCGCACAAAAAAACTCGAGTTGTTGCACCTCGACCACGCCGATCCCCGCAGAGGGTTCATCCGCGCACCGCAAAAACGCCAAAAAAACGCAAGGTTTTGCACCTCGACCACGCCGATCCCCGCAGAGGGTCGCGCGGGCACCGCAAGAATCGCACAAAAAAACTCGAGTTGTTGCACCTCAACCACGCCGATCCCCGCAGAGGGTTCATCCGCGCGCTGCAAAAACACCAAAAAACGCGAGGTTTTGCACCCGCAGAGGGCCGCGCGGGCGCCGCAAGCTTTGCCAAAAAACTCGAATTTTTGCACCTCGACCACGCCGATCCCCGCAGAGGGTCGCAATCCCGATCGACGATCAAAGTCCTGCCCCGGCGACCTAAAAACCAAAACTTAACTTACATAGCTGCTAACTTGGCTCTATGCACTTGGCTCTATGCACTTGGCTCTATGCACTTGGCTCTATGCACTTGGCTCTATGCACTCGGCTCTATGCACTTGGCTCTGTGCACTTGGCTCTATGCACTCAGCTCTATGCACTTGGCTCTGTGGCACTCGGCTCTATGCACTCGGCTCTGTGCACTCGGCTCTATGCACTTGGCTCTATGGACTTGGCTCTATGCACTTGGCTCTATGCACTTGGCTCTATGCACTCGGCTCTATGCACTTGGCTCTATGCACTTGGCTCTATGCACTTGGCTCTATGCACTTGGCTCTGTGCAGTTGGCTCTATGCACTCGGCTCTATGCACTCGGCTCTGTGCACTCGGCTCTATGCACTTGGCTCTATGGACTTGGCTCTATGCACTTGGCTCTATGCACGGCTCTATGCACTTGGCTCCATGCACTTGGCTCTATGTATTTGGCTCTGCGCAAGTGACTCTATGCAAGTTGGTCCGAGAGCTCCGCACGGAAGAACCCTTCGCGATGCTTTCGGGAAGAAAAACAAAACATATCCCACAGTTAAGTGAAGCTGGTGGCACTGGCAATTGCTGTGGCCTAGGCATCATGTTTCTAGGTGTGGCTTGGGACAAGGCCAAGCGCTTGCGACGCGTGCAGGCATCGTAGAGCTCTTGGCCATGTGTCCAAGGCACAACTGTGTCCTGCCAGGATCAACGAGTCAAGTCAGCAAAGAAACTTGCCTACCGCATTTCACGGCAAGTGATTTGCTACAGGGATGTCCTTTTTGCCATGAACGATCAGCAGAAATCCTGAGATTTGCCTCATCTTCTCCTGAAAAAGAATCTAAGCTTGCAGAGCACGAGGCCAGGACTCCAGCCTGCCTTGTTTGGAAAGCGCTCCTCGATGAAGTCCCTGGCAGTTGAAGAGGTAATGCCACTCATGCTGGGATGCCACCAATATGTGAAACAGGTCAGGTGTACGCAACCCGACCAAGGTGGCAGCGCACCACTTCTTTTACAGACAGGAATGGACAAATCAGAATGACCTCAGTCAGACTCTCTCCATCCTCCCACCAAGCCTCTGGCAAAAGCTGTGTGCCAGTGCAGCCACACAGGACACAACTCGACTCGAACCAAAGTCTCTGCAAACCTATTGAATCCTGGAACAAAGCCCGGCCTCATAACATATCTTGCGCAAAGCTTTGCCTCCATCACACCAAATAAGGAGCTCACCCCGTAAGTTCGCGCTTCAGCAGCAAGATGAAGGGCTGGCCTTAGGAATAGCTCTGATACAGCGCAAGCGCCACCTTGTTTGAATCCTGAAGGTGCAAGATTCCACGGCAATGAATAGGCACAAACAGATTGCATGTCGAAACCATGGCAAAGCATCAACTCTGCAGCCAACCTGAACCAATCACAGAGTGCTCAATCTATACGTAAACCAAACCTGCTTCCATGGATGCACATGGCTACTTGGTCTGCTTGTGAATCTACTGAAGTGCACCTCATTGCAAAAAGTCAGTCTTCGAGTGCAACGTGTGCTGGTTTCTTTTCTTGTTACTTCGTCAGCTCTCTGGTGGCAGAAGAGCATCATTTGCCACATGAGCACGAGATGGGCAAGAGGTCCAATTTGTCTGATGATTGGCGAGCAGTGGGGACAATGTGCCTCCAGGAATCCGGGACCCAGGCCCGCTGCCCACAGACCTGCCCAGGATTATGATGTCCTGGCAATGCGCAGCCACAAACGTTGTTCAAGTTAAACATGGAGCCAATAATGAACATGGTGTGTCCAACATTGTCACATGATATGTGCTGCGTCCATCTTGGACGAATACAGCTTGGCAGTCCTCTGATGGAAAGCAAAGGACCTGTCCCGATGGCAACTGAATTGTTATGAATCTCACCATGGATCCCGTGCTACATTTTCTTGTATCTCAGCCTCTGTGATAAAGCGAAAGGCTAGGCGGGCATTCTCGATGACCGACATCTCATCTGCCTGACAGCACAGTCAAGTGTCGCTGCAAGGTTCACAAGTGCAGGAAAAAAGTATTCGACAAACATGGTATCCAGGCCTGGCCGCCTCCGCACATCCCATATCCAGGATACTCCACTGCCAAGACATTCACCTCCAATGCCAGGTGCCATGAGTGGGACACAAGCAGCCATTATGCTGATCCACAAGGAGCATCGAAAGAAAGAGACCAACACCTGGAATTGCATCCGCAGCATGTTGCAAAAGTTGTAGCACCGACCAAGATCCTGCAATGCATCATGTTTTACTGCAACACCGGGCACCTGCTCCTGCATTCAGCATTCAACCCGCACAAACCCAACAAAAGTCTGCCTCCATGGACACCAAAGTACATCCTAAAAGGCTGCAACGAGTGGTAAACACAGCTTCGCACTGCTTGAGGTAAGCAGCACAAGATTTGCTGGAGCTTAAGTTGCACATGAGCGCAGCCTGGTCATATGCCAATTCATGAAAATCGATTAAACCAACAGACCAAACCCAACTGATATATCCAATATATGACCCTTGTCACAGCTTCGCTGGCTGCACCAAGAACGCTGCCCCAAGACCAAACATGTGAGAAGCAATCCCATGTCAAATGGGTGTCGGCACGAGGAATTTTCGATTGAGTGTCCTCCGCATTGCTGTGCAAATACAGCATCATGAAACGCGCTGAGCCGGAGGTTAGGAAGAGGCACGGAACGTTTGCCTGTGTCAGTGCAGTCACAGCCAAATGCAATGCCGGTGCATCCTTTGCGAGCAGAACGCGAGCGCCTCGACATCTGGATCATCAGGATCAAGGCTTCTGGGCAGCCAAATAAGTTCCTGGCACAACCGAAATGGAAATATCAAGGATGGGATTCAACACAAAATAATCAAGAGCCGCCCTCTCCTCCTCTGGAAAGGTGTTCAAATCATAGCTCGACTCTGGTGCTGGGAAAAGGAGGGTGTTCACCTGGAAGGTGTCACGCAATACAATTCAAAAGCGCCTTCTGAGGCACTGGCAAGATTGAAGCTCGTCATGTGTCCTCAAGAGTCCCAGATAAGAAAGCAAAATGCAGCTTCGGACCTCTCCCTCTTTGGTACAACAGGCCATCCATGGCAAACCTTAAGGATGAATTCGCTCTTACTGCGTCAATTTGATCATCATATCGGGTCCAATTTACAACAGTTTGCTGGGAACCCAAAAAGCTCACTCTCTCCCTTAAGGCAGATGCAGAGCCGTGTTTCGGAATCTGGCACCTCGGAACACTGGCACTGTGATTACTGAGCTTGCTGAGCTTAATGAGCTTGCTAGTGCTGAAGAAGTTTAAAAATTCCAGAGAACAAAACACGGGCAGCAAGGTCGGCAAAGCTCCAATTTGAGAGACAACCATCGCAAAGCAAGAACCGCAGCGCGACTTGGGAGCAAGCTTGCCATCACGCTCGCTGCAGGCAGTCCTAGCAAGTCGCAATCTTCCTAAGATTGAGCATCTGGTCAAAAAAATAAACTGGATGGAAGTTGTGCCATGTTCTGTGGGCGTTGAAGAACCATCACTGCTGTCATGGTCATGCAATACAAGCCTGCCCTTCGCTTCTTAGCGATCCAGAACCCACCTAAGTATGGCAATGCATTGTGGACGCAAAGCCCTCAGGTTGCTTTCACACTGAATTCAACATCGTCTCCGCGCAACAGTCTGCTGGTGGCGCATTTTGTCGCTTTGGCAGTCACAAAAGCGTTCCATCACGTAGTCAAAGGTTCCGCGCACTCTGCCAAGCCATCTGAATTCGCCTCGGACAACCTGAGAGTGGCATGCCTCTTGGCAGCACTTTGAACCGCACCCGAATCTGATCGAGGACAGCACTGCCTGACCATCACCCTCCTCAAACTGACCAGCCTGGAGAAACTTGGTCAAGGCCCCACACAATCCGAATTCAAAAGACAACCACTGCAAAATATTCCACCTGAACTGCCATGCGCAAGTATTTGAGCTCAGCGCGTAATGATAGGCACCTGGCACCTGCAAACTGCTTGTATGCCCACACTAGGGAAGCAGTACCGAACCTCTTGGATCTTCTCCTTCCACGCCAGGCACCATTTTCGCTTGCCGCCAAGCGCAACGATGTCTGCACAGAGATTTCCCTCACAGAGGCCGCTACTACAGTCGCTGTGCAAATCAACATGCAATAGGAGAAGCGCAGCAAACACGGAGAAAAAGCTCCGACCTGCCAATTTCCATGAAGAATCACACGATGACCATTTGAGTCCTGCTGTCAATCGCGGCGTGCGAGGCTGAAATGTTGCTTGTGTCTGTGCAAGGCCAGTCCTGTCTGCGATGGACTGCCTCTCCCTGCATGGTTAGGCTTCCACCTTCCAAGCAAGAGCAATTGACTGCTACCTTCCGGCATAAGACTCTGGCTGGCAAAGAAGCAATATGCTTCAGTGGACATCTCTCCCTTGCTGTCCCTCACCTCAGCCAGCGTCATCCCATTCCTGGCTATTTCCACGCCTCAGGGCCCCGGCTGTACCCATCAAGTGCCAGGTGCCGGCAACGACTTGCAAATCCTGAGCACGCTACGGCGGCAGCACATGACTCAAGGGACATAAGGCACAGTGGAGATGAAAGCCGGGGCCAACCACTGCTCGACGTGCCATGGCCCTGGAAGAACAGCTCAATCGCCATGATGGCCTCACCTTATCTAAGCTCTGCTGCAAGGCCGCGACAAAAATTCAGACTTAGTCACTAACCTGCCGCAGTTCAAACATGGAATCCTGCCATTTCAGCCGGAAAACCTGAGCAGAAGAAGCGCTAACATTCAGCTCTGAAAGCAAAGTTCGAGCACCTGCTGCCATGAAGTTTCTGATGACTCCTGACAAAGGGAAGGGTCAGCACCAATACAACACACAATTTTCTAAGGACCGCACAGACCAGCTCCGGCAAACAGTCGAAGCCGCTGCAAGGGTGCGAACATCCAGTCCTCAACAATTCGATGCGCAAAGGAATTGCAAACTTCGAAAATGAGGGACGGACGGCGTAGCACGATTGGCAGCACATCCCCGAGGGGTTCCAGGACCCGGTTTGGGTCGCTCATGTCATGTTCATTCAAATGTCACAGAACAATCACGCTCAGGCTGCACCGTGTGTGTGTGTGTGTGCGTGTGCGTGGCGCACAAGAACAGTACTCAAGAAACATGCTAAAATGAAAAGCTGCAAGGATAGGTTCTAGGAAACCATGAGGATTTCAACGTTTAAAACCACGCGATTTGAGCCAAACGGATGGCAGGAAGAGAATCAATTGCTTCCGTGTTTGCATGCTCCGAAACATCACAACCTCGCATTCAATAGCCACATCTCAGCAGGCGGCAGCATGGGCTCCTCAAAATGCATGGTACAAATGTCAAGATGTGCTGCTCATCCAAGTTTTTGTCACATTGCACAAACGGGGGGGTGCTTTCCGAAGCTTGCCTTTTGTCTGGATTGCATGATTGTAACGCTGATGAACTTGCTCATGCGTACATCAACTGCTATCAGCACTTGGGCCTCATATGCTGTTCCACGCATTGCATCTCATGCAAACGTCAAGCACGAAAAACACACATTGAGGCAAAGTGGCCACGCAAACCAGAAACAACGATTGCCCTGGGCCCGAGCCCAGCTGTGATTACCTTCTCCCACAAATTGTTGCGCTCCAGTTGATTTCTAGTTGGATTCAAGTTTACCTTTGACTGGCCCCTTTCTCTCGGCATAGGATGTGATGCAAACACTTTGCCACTTCAGATTGAACAGATTTACATTTTGCTGTTGTCATGTAAGCTTGAACAGGTAGCAGCGCGCAAAATCATCTTTATCACATCTGTTGTCTTGACTTGGGTCATGAAGAATCAATTTTATGTTGATGCTTGGGCAAATACCAAAACACCAACTTGCTGCACGTGTTTCCTGAGCCCACACAACGTAAACAGCTTCCAAAAAGCAAGAGCTGTCCGGAAACTTCTTAGCCTAACATGCACGCGCGTGTGATTGCCTGCATCAGCCTCCAGATTGACAGTTTGCGTGTAACATACTTGATTTTCATATTTTGCGGTTGCCCGTCCAACTGGCCAGAAACTCGTCAGTTAAGGCATGTTGCACTGCTTCTATCTTGAACCCAAACCAGACCACCCAAAAGAACAAAGCAAGTCCAAAGCGGCCGCAGCTCTTTTAACCGGATTGCTGAAAGTAGCACTGCTTCCAGGGCACGGATGCGCCTGGAGCAGGAGGTGCGTTGACCCCCCGAAACTTAAAGGCAAGACAATGCGTGTCCTTGCAGGTGCGTGCAGTGCGCGCAAGGCGTGGCAGGCGTGCCCAGCCAGTCCGGAGACTTGGTGGTCCTGAGACCGTAGGCGGTCCGGAGACCTAGAGGTCCGGAGACCAAGAATGGAAGTGCAGAGTATCTGCAACTTCCCTTGCAGAGCCTTGTAAAAAAGGCAACGCAGGGTGGGTGGGTGGGTTTCAAATGAAACAGATCAAGTTGGGTCAAGGCTGAGCAAAACGGCCACCGCGGAAGTAGAGTCACAACACGCCCTAAACACAAGGGAAAAGAAAACCCTAAGCGTTAAGGCATGTTGCACTGCTCCTATCTTGAACCCAAACCAGACCACCCAAAAAAACAAAGCAAGTCCGAAGCGGCCGCCGCTTTAACAAAAATGAGCAGTCCCTGAGCAGCAGATGCTCATAAGTATGAGAGTGCAATGTCGTGCGACGATTGCCCTGCCAGGTACAACCCCACTCTAAAGGGGGGGTGATGAGGCCGGCGGCCCAGCTGGCTCGCTTATACCGGGGTTGCTTGAAACACTGAAGGGGGAGTTAACGCACCTTCTGCTCCAGGCGCATCCGTGCCCTGGAAGCAGTGCTACTTTTCTCTCTCTTTAGAGGGGATTTCCCAAATGGATTCTATTCTACCTGAGAGGCTCCCAGCACTCGTCCGTCCAGGAAACGACCTCGTCCTGCGAAGGATTCGAAGTCTAAAACGCAGCGTGCAGGCGTGTGGCTGCAAAATAATGACCCCTAGATATGCTTGCAATTTGGCTCCAGGTTGCATTTCAAGCGAGCCAACCTTTGCAGGGCTAAGAAAAGACAAAAAAAAAAGAAAAAAAAAGGGGTCCCCAAAAAGGGGTCCCAAAAAAAAGGGAAAAGGGGTTTCCTTTGGCAAAGGTTGACATCGCTTCAAATGCAACCTGGAGCCAAATTGCGGCGCATATCTAGGGGTCATTATTTTGCAGCCACACGCCTGCACGCAGCGTTTTAGAAATCGAATCCTTCGCAGGACGAGGTCGTTTCCTGGACGGACGAGTGCTGGGAGCCTCTCAGGTAGAATAGAATCCATTTGGGAAATCCCCTCTAAAGAGAGAGATGCGCTATATGTGCTATATGGTATAGAAGCCCGGTGTCGAAGCCTGCCCGGCATTGAAGCCGCGCCAAGCCGCTGAACCCCCACAGTCTCCCGGGTCCTTGCTATATGTGCTATATGTGCTATATGGGTCTTACACGCCAACCCGCTCAACCCCCACAGTCCCCCGGGTCCTTGCTATATGTGCTATATGTGCTATATGGGTCTTACACGCCAAGCCGCTGAACCCGGGCTCCTTGCTATATGTGCTATATGTGCTTACACGCCAAGCCGCTGAACCCCACAGTCTCCGGGCTCCTTGCCATACGTGCTACATGTGCTATATGGGTCTTACACGCCAAGCCGCTGAACCCCCACATTCTCCTGGGTCCTTGCAAAATGTTCCGAAATGTACTATATGTTATCGAGACGCGCGTTAAAATACACTATATGTGCTACACAATGCATATTTGGTACATGTTGGAGATGCTATGTGTATAGTACACAGGCTTCTATACCATATAGCACATATAGCACATATAGCAAGGAGCCGGGGGAGAGTGGAGGTTCTGCGGCTTGCCTTGTGAGACCCATATAGCACATATAGCACATATAGCAAGGACCCGGGGGAGAGTGGAGGTTCTGCGACTTGCCTTGTGAGACCCATATAGCACATATAGCACATATAGCAAGGAGCCGGGGGACTGTGAGGGTTCGGCGGCTTGGCACTGCGCCACCCTGCCCGGCATCGGAGCCAGCCCCGCCCGAGGTTGGAATTCTTCCCAGTCCTCCCGTAAAAGAAAAAAAAAATGCAGCGCGCTTTTTTTGCCAATAGGATTGCCTCCTTCAATCCTGTTGTCACCCCCTCCTTCAATCCTGTTGTCACCCCAGGATTGCCTCCTTCAATCCTGTTGCCACCCCAGGATTGCCCCTTCAATCCTGGGCTCACAACAGGATTGCTCCGAAGCCCCTCAGACCGGCGTTCCCGTTTGGCCCTACCGGAGCCCCTGAAAGGCGTCGATTCTGCTCACAAGCCGCTCGCAGTGGGCGTCGACGTCGAATTGGGTCATCTCACGGAGGCGACCGACATCGACGTTAATCTGCTCATGCAGGCGGTCGGTTTCGATTTTGAGCTGCTCATGGAAGGCGATGACTTCTTCGCCTACGATGCGGTCATAGAGGGCGTCGGTTTCGACTCCGAGCCACTCATGCAGGGCGTCGGTTTTGAATTTGAACCGCGCCTCGAGGTTGATGGCGTCGGTCAAGAGCTGATCACGACGGACGTCGGTTTCGTCTGGGAGCCACTCACGGAGAACATCGGTTGCGCTCGCAAACCGGCTCAAGGCGGCGTCGGTCTGGATTTTGAGCGCCCCCTGAATGCCGTCGGTTTGGACTTTGAGCAGACGCTGGAGGGCGTCAATCCTGTCTTTGAGCCACGCTGCGTTGGTCCGCGTCGCGTGTTCTGCCATCCCGGCATCTGTGCGCCGGCGCTTGCGCTGCGACTCCTCCTCTCGTCGCTCTTCCTCTTCTTGCACCCACTGCCGGTTTGCAAGGTGCAGCCGGCGCATCTCATCGGGCTCCTGGCTCTGGGCGTCGTACAGCCTTTTCTGGTTTGCCAACCAGCAGTCCCAGACAGCAACGTCGGCCTCTCGAGCAGGTCTCGCTGCGAAACCATACAGGCTTGCGGGCGCGCCGGAGAGGCCATGGTCTCAAGATGAGAGTAGAGGCAGCTGTGTTTAAAACCCACAGGCGCCAGCCCGCCCGCCGCGGCAGAGACCACCGGAGGCCAGCAGGATGAACGCACCGCCGCGCCACCTGCCCGGCATCGGAGCCACGCCAGCCCGCCGACGGGTTCGCCCAACGACTCTTAAGCTGAACTCTACGCGGGCATCAACCAAAAAATGGTCCGTGCCTGTTTCCAGTTCCGAGGCCAAACGGATCGGCGCTGCGCCACCCGGCCGCGCCACCTGCCCGGCGTCGGAGCCCTGCCGAGCCCACGCCAAGGTCGGAATTCTTCCCAGGAAAAAAAATGTCGAGGTTGTCGTCTAAGCCGACAACTGTCTAAAGTTTCGGCGAACCTGCCCGGCATAGAAGCCCCCGGCCGCGCCACCTGCCTGGCATCGAAGCCTCCCGGCCGGCCGCTTCGAAAGCATAAGTGCCACTTATGCTTTCAAGCGTCACATTTCTGTGAGCCGCGCCAGCCCGCCGACGTGGCTTCGATACCTAGCGTGCCAGGCACGCAGCTGATGATGTCTCAACTACGAAGCAGTGTCCGATTATATCGGACACTGGCTCCAGGCTGCATTTCAAGCGAGCCCCCTGCCGCGCCACATCCCTGCCCGGCATAGAAGCCGCGCTTGCGCCACCCGAGGTCCAGGAAAAAAAATCCAGTTGTCCCGTGGGGGGACGACTGTAGGGAAAAAAATTTCCAGTTGTCGCGTGGGACGACGACTGTAGCACGCTTTTTATTTGACCGGTGAGGTCTTGCGATTGACCGGCGCCACAAGTCATTGTAGCCACGGAACTTCCAAAAAACCCTGGCGCGGGCCTGGTGCGGGCCTGGTGCGGGCCTGGTGCGGGCCTGGTGCGGGCCTGGTGCGGGCCTCGCTTTCAGGTCACCCACGGGCTGTGTCGATTTGACCGGCGCCATCGGTCAAATCATTTCGGCGAAAACATATGTAAACATGTTTGAAGGACCTGTCACCGGCAATATCCCGGAGGTC